CCAGGACTAGTGCCCTCCAAGTTCCATTCTGCAGCATCATTGAAAGCTTCTGTTAAATCTCTACTCGGGTCTTCCAAAATGGGTTTTCAGTTATCCTGACTTCCTAGGATTTACATGGCATTTACTTATTATAGAGTTTGTACTCGATAATTACTAGAATGCATTTTTCTGTATAACTTGTATACAGATGCAGAGCCCATGCTCTACCACTTTGCGATAGCTTACTTCCTATTCGAGAATGTTTGTTACCTAAAATTACAGATTAAAGATCCAAGCCATTTTTGCGATAGTCATTAATATTACACAGTCTAGTATTTGAAAACATTATCCGTGGGATTTGAACGCTTAGTGGGGTGATGACTAGACCACTTTACTAAGTCGCCACATCTATTTGAAATAAGTTAGTAAAGTATTATTTATATTAAATTAGATTTATATTAATTTGCAAATTGGAAAAAAAAATTATTTAAATTAAATCAAATAATTCAAATAATATTAATGTTAATTTATATATATATATATATATATTTTAGCTCTTTGACAGTTTTGCCAGAGCTCAAATACAATACTTTATTAAACAAACTTGGATGGAATGAATAATGACAGTATAGAAAATTGTAAGCCTGACATTATCTGGCTGCATCTAGTGTGCCCAAGAGTGACATGTCACACCAACCTACATGTAAGTTAGAAGATCTTGTTAGCCCACCAAGAGCCTATCTCTTCATTCTTACTTTCTTTACCAAAAGCAAAAGAAAATAATGTTCTGTATTCTTAATACTAGAATGTACATCACGAAGAAAGGAGTTTATATACAAAAAAAACAAAACAAGAAAGAGAAAATAATAAAAAATAAAAATGAGAAAACTAGAAAATGTAAAAAAAGAAAAAACAAGGAGATAAGCCCTAACAGGCTAAACAAGAAAAAGCTACCTCCTGTGGGAAATAGCAGTTACCTCTGTCAAGAAATAATACAAAAATGAACAAAAAAAAAAAAAGCAAAGTGCACTATTATAACCCATGCTAGAAAGTATAAAAATTATATAACAAATACAATATTTGTATATCTCTACTGTAAAGCTTCGCCTTAACATTATTGTTTCTTTCTGACCTTATGACTGACTCTGGAATATTTGGTTCTGACCTAATCAGTATCTCGAGCTAGGTGCTACTGCCGTCCATAGACCCGTATTTCAAGCTACTTGCTACTGCTATTAGAACTCGGAACCTGTCCAAATTAGTAGCACTATATCTATTGAATACGTGGTTATTATCTACTTGGCTATTCAGATTTGGAATATAAATACCATCGATCTTTTGGAGAGGGTAAGCCAAATCCCCACTTTTTAGAAAAAATTTTTGAAAAACCAAAGGAAGGTAGAAATAAAAGGAGAGAGTGCAAGTACTTTTAAAATTTTTTAAACAAGTGTGTTGAAAAAGCAGAGCTTTTTGTTGTTTTCTCTGTGTTCTTCATTGAAGTAATAACCTAAGCTTTGTTGATGGAGTTGGGCCTCCCCACTCTACTCCACCAAGATTTTTTATATAAGGGCACCACTTGCCAGTTATCTTGTATAATAACACTCCTGGCTTGCATACCAAATATCCTTCTTTAGAGGAGTCTCTAAGAATAGTAGTTGACCTCTAAACAAACCACTGTATAGGCCACGACTCTCCAACAAGTAGTTCTGGTTTTTCTTTAGCAGAAAATTTTGGTCCAGATAATTGTCAGGAAGAGTTGCCTCATCTCGATAACTATTAATCTAAATCAGCTCAAATTTTTACTATAGATAGTGGCGATATTCTTATATTATATATATAAATTTTAACTGATTTGGTCTGGTAGTTCTCAAGCAATCACTTGTATACGATAGTCAATTTTTTTAAAAAAATTAACTATTGTATACAAGCGATTACTTGAGAACTACCAGACCAAATCAGTTGAAATTTTTATATATAATATAAAAATATTGCCACTATCTATAGTAAAATTTAAGCCAATTTAAATTAATAGTTATTGAGATATTCATTGTCAAAGTTTGAGTAAAAATAATAATTTTTTTTAATAATTAATTATTATAAAGTTTTTGCTATTTTTACTTAAATTTTGATGATGAATATCTCAATAACTATTGATCTAAATTGGCTCAAAATTTTACTATAGATACTGGCGATATTCTTATATATATAAATTTTAACTAATTTGGTCTGGTAGTTCTCAAGTAATTGCTTGTATACGATAGTTAATTTTTTAAAAAAATTAACTATTGTATACAAGCGATTACTTGAGAACTACTAGACATAATTAGTTGAAATTTATATATATATTATAAGAATATCACCACTATCTATAGTTAAAATTTGAGCCAATTTAGATCAATAATTATCGAGATATACATTATCAAATTTGAGTAAAAATAGCAAAAACTTTATAATAATTAATTATTAAAAAAATTGCTATTTTTACTCAAACTTTGATGATGAATATCTCGATAACTATAGATTTAAATTGGCTCAAACTTTTACTATAGATAGTGGTGATATTCTTATATTATATATAAAAATTTCAACCAATTTGGTCTGGTAGTTCTCAAGTAATCACTTGTATACAATAGTTAATTTTTTTAAAAAATTGACTATCATATACAAGCAATTACTTAGAACTACCAGACCAACTCAGTTGAAATTTTTATATATAATATACGAATATCGCCACTATCTATAGTAAAAATTTTAGCCAATTTAGATCAATAGTTATCGAGATATTCATCGTCAAAGTTTGAGTAAAAATAGCAATTTTTTTAATAATTAATTATCATAAAGTTTTGCTATTTTTACTCAAAGTTTGATGATGTATATCTTGATAACTATTGATCTAAATTGGCTCAAATTTTTACCATAGATAGTGGTGATATTCTTATATTATATATATAAATTTTAACCAATTTTGTCTAGTAGTTCTCAAGTAATCGCTTGTATATGATAGTTAATTTTTTTAAAAAAATTGACTATCGTATACAAGCGATTACTTGAGAACTACTGGACCAAATTAGTTGAAATTTATATATATAATATACGAATATCACCACTATCTATAGTAAAAATTTGAGCTGATTTAGTTTAATAGATATCGAGATATTAATCATCAAAGTTTGAGTAAAAATAGAAATTTTGTTATTAATTGTATTATTAGCAATATAATACAATTATTATAAAATGCACCCATGGTGATTTTGTGCATGCATCCCTGATCATGGAATATATAAACAGTGATCAGAGATGATAATCAGTTTTTTTTTTTTTTTTGCGTTTGCTTTTCGTTTTGTGCCGTGTACTGTTCAACTAATATTTTTTTTTTTTAGGTGCAGATAATTTCGTTGCTAGTATTGTTGATTCTAGTTTGTCATTGTTTTTCTTCTCTCAGTGGCTCTTTTCTTTTCTGGCTTCTGGCTTCGAAGAGTCAGTAGCTCTTTTCTCTTCTGGCTTCTAAGAGAACGATATTATTTTTGTCATTCTTGTTTGTAAACACATTTAACTAACTTTTTCTTTTTCTAGGTAATATTTAGAATCGGTAGAGTTGCTGGTTATCGTTTCTTGAATTTAGTAGTTTCTAACTTTGGGTGTTATTATTTTTGTCTTGATTTTTCATGAATGCGTTCTACTAACAAATGTCTCTTCACTTTTTTTGCTGATTTTAGGTTGGTTATATTGGTTTTGTTTTATTTTTTGTTATATTAAACAACCAATTCCTTTTCAGATAGTTAACTGTCAAATATGATCAGGTTGATATTTATTTGACTCTGAAGATGTATAGTTCTTTTTATTCTTGTTTACAGATACATTTAGTTAACAAATGCACTTTTCTTATTTATAGGCAGCAACAGAAGTGTCTTCATGTTGGCTTTTTATAAACATCTTCGAGGTGGTTGCTTTCTTTTCCAGTTTATGGTTTCGTCGTGCTGTTTGTGTCGTTCTGATGGGTTTGTCATTGGTGTTGTTATGAGATCCGATTAGACATCAACAATTATGTTATAGACACCACATTTTATCAACTGACAAGCTCATTTTACTAACAGTTTCAGTTTATTTCATCCAAGCTCATTTTACAAACAAAGTAATTCTAGTCAATATTATTAGGGTCAGGTTAGAATCCGAGTTAAAGTTAGTGTAATTTAAAAAAAAACTTGTTGATAAAATGAGCTTTGGTGAAATAGACTGCTGGTAAAATGAACTTGTTAGTGAAATAATATAGATTCATTATAGTTAGGGTTAGGTTAGTCTGGTTATAGTTATAGTTAGGGTTAGTGTGGTTATAGTTATAGTTAGAGTTAGTGTGGTTATAGTCATAATTGAGTGGTTAGGTTATAGCATAATCGAGCATTGTTATGCAACAATTTTGAAATATTTGTTACGCAATTTTTTTTTTATTAAAAATGAAATATAAATAAAAATTATTCAGTAAAAATTATTTTAAAAATTATCTTATATGATAATATTAATGTATAGATACAAAGCCACTATAGATGCAAAACCACTATAGATGCAAATCACCATAGATGTGTTTTAGTAAAAGTGATATAATATATACAGTATATATATTTATATTATATAATATATATTATATATAGGACCTGATGAATAAAAAAAAAAAACTCTTTCCAGTTCACCTCTGAAATCAAAATTTTGAGTAAACAAAAAGTAATCAAACTATTAAAGCTCAGTCTTTGCTAAATAAATATTACATTGGGTCCTCCAGAACAAAGAACAAACTAATACCACACAGTATTACAACCTTCGAACAAAATTAAATACACAAGAGACTGTGTTTTCTCCACTCCTCAGATCTTTGAGCTTTTTCTCACCTTTAATGGTCGCTATACCCTAACTATAGATGCACACACCTCAACTTTCAACTAGTCCTCACACTCTTCTAATCAAGCACCTAACAACCCCCTCCTGCAAAAAGAAGTAGACAAAATGACCCCAACAATATAATTACTCAAATGGACTACTCTTTGACTACTCCTACTCCAACCACTCTCACAACACAATCGCAACAAAGTGGGCAAAACACCATACCTCCAGAAAACAACAAACCAATCAGGGCTCCTGTGCCCATTCCAGCTAGTGTGGAAAAAACCGCAGAAATTCCCATACCGATCATCACAACAAACACTATACCCAATTTGGTACAACAACCTATCTCGGCAGTTGATTTCAACCCTCCGATTTTCCAGGGCTTTCTGGACCTGAAAACACACTTACAACTGAGCTCAACCCATTAATGGCTGACAACCTAGCCCTTTTACCTGACTCTACTGCCAACTCCTACCAAGACTTACCTATGGACACCCACTCAAATACTACAATTGAATCTTTACCAAAAAGATCCTATGCTACTGCACTTACGGGTAACCAAAAACCTAAACCCCAACACAAATTATTGGACCACTGAGACTTCAAATAGTGCACCTCAGTTCTTAAAGATCTAGCAACACAATGTACCGATGAATTTGACAAACTTAAATGGCACAATGACTACATTATCTCTGCATTTGAAAATATTACTAAACTTCAAGAATTCTTTGTCCACAAAATAACTTTCATTCCTACTTCTTACAAACTACCACTGGCAATCAACAAAAAATTTATCCACTTGGACACCGCCTTCTTTAAATCCTTTACTCGCAATAACTCTACTCAATCTCAACACTAAAAAGAATTCGAAACTCTCTTACAAATTGTAACTAAAAGATACAAATATTGCCATGATGCTCATTATATCAATAAAATCAACTGGGACCAACTCTTCCAAAGACTAAAGGCAAAATTTGCACTCGACTTCTTATATAACTTGGACTTCATATTGAAAAGCCCTTATGATATTACAAGATATAATGCCCTTCGATTTCGAAAAAATTAGAGCTACTTTAACCTCTGCTTACGACTCTCTTCTAAACCTTTACCTTCTTCTCCATGTGGCATTATCGATAATATCAGTCAGATTCTTCCATTTAAACTACCTATTACTGACCGCAGTGACACCAGAGCGGTCATTCTCGCTCTGCGCAAAATATACACATTCGATAAACTGTATAATAGCTACTTCAAAACCTAATTACAATCTCTTCCTGACCATCTTTCTGAACTCAACCTCGAAATACAGGATCTATTCCCCATTACTGAACTATCCAAGCTCGCATACTTAGCTCTCTACTGTCAAAAACTATCCAAATACTACATTGTGGGCGAAAAAATCCTATTACCCTACTTCAACCTACCACCACAAAAATCCTGTTTACCTAGTACACTACAAAACTTAAACTCAGCTACTCAACACCTATTTCCTTGCAACTCTAAAAATTTCACTGAATTTCGCCACTTTGTTGAGGTCCTTTACCAACACTATAGTTTTAAACATGTTCTCTCTGCCTTTTTCATACAGAAACAGCCTCTTCCTCAAAACCAACACAAGTAGCTACTTCAAAAAAATACTTCTTCCCTATCAACGACCCAACGCTAGCAAAAGAGTTTCTGGTAGCTATTCAAAACAAATATCACTTTACACTACCTCTCCCTGAGCAATACATGACAGTCAACCCTACAAACAAACTAGAACAGTAGGGCATAAAAGGGAGTTCTGAGGTCACTTTTTCGGTACCCTGGGTACCAAGTATTCATTTTGCTTTTTAGATCGCTCAAGAAGTCTATATTCTATAAA